CCATAAAGGTATTCCCTTTCTTTCCTTAGTTTTCCCTCTACCTTTACCTTATGGGGCTTCAGTTGCTTGTTACAGAGCCTCCTTTGCTAAATTATTTGTGTGACTGCCTTTTTTTTCTCTTGCCTTAGTGCTTCTTACCAGCTTCTGAGTGAAGTTTTGCTTTCGGAATGGTTTGCGTGCCTTTCCGTTGCTTGCCTGCGCACTGCAGCTCTCTCTCTCTCACTCTCACTCTCTCGCTTGCCCTGTCCCCCGGGTAATCACATTTCAGCTGCTGACTCATTGTATCTTCTTAAATTAGTAATGCTCTTAAAATGGTTGATTTTTTTTCTTCTGAATCTTGTGGATATTTGCTTCTTACAGTAGGGAGTCGGATCAGCACCACTGCAACCATATGGTCTTTTCCCAGATGATCACACTTGGCATAAGACCATATGACATGGGAGCAGAAATGAGCCATGTCGCCCTTTGACTCTGCTCCAGCATCTTGTGGTATTTGCCACCTTTTACCAGTAGGTGACACCAAGTAAGCATTGTTGAGGTAATTCACTGCCACCAACTAGCCTTTGTCTTGGGCCATTCGAGTAATTAGTGGAAAGAATACTCATTGCTGTGGATCTGGAGTCACGTGTAGGCCAGACCAGGTAAGAATAGCAGTTTCCTTCCCTAAAGGAGATTAGTGAACCAGGTGGGTTTTTCCTGACAATTGATTCATGGTCACCATTAATTTGTTTGTTATTGAATTCAAATTCTACCATCTGCCATGCTAGGCTTCAAATCCAGAGATAGTAGGAACTGCCAATGCTGGAGTCTGAGATAACAAGGTGTGGAGCTGGATGAACACAGCAGGCCAGGCAGCATCAGAGGAGCAGGAAAGCTGACGTTTTGGGTCTGGACTCTTTTTCAGAAATGGGGGAGGAGAAGGGGGCTCTGAAATAAATAGAGAGAGGGGGAGGCGGTGATAGAAGGTGGATAGAGGAGCAGATAGGTGGAGAGAAGACGGACAGGTCAAGGAGGTGGGGATGAAGCCAGTAAAGGTGAGTCTAGGTAGAGAGTTGGGATGGGGTTTGGTCAGTGTGGAGGGAGGGGCAGGTAGGTGGGAGGGAAGACGGACAGGTCAAGGAGGCGGGATGAGGCTAGTGTGTAGGAAGTGCGGGTGGGGCTTGGTCAGTGAGGTGGGAGGAGCAGACTGGTGGGAGAAAAGACGGACAGGTCAAGGAGGCGGGGACGAGAGGGGCTGGTCTTGGGATCAGTTTGGGGGTGGGGAGATTTTGAAGCTTGTAAATTGAGACCATTGGGCTGCAGGGTACCCAGGCATATTCCGCCTTGTTATCCTAGGCTTCAAACCCAGGCTCCTGGAACATTCCTGGGTCTCTAGATTAACAGTCCAGCAATAGTGCCACTAGGCCATCACCTCCCCAGCTCTTAGATAACAAGATGATATCTTGCATAGGAGTTAGGATGTCATGTTGAGGTTGTACAAGACATTGGAGAGGCCTCTTCTGGAGTACTGTTCTGGTCACCCAGTTATAGGAAGGATATTATTAAGCTGAAGAGGTTTCAGAAGAGATTTACCAGGATGTTGCTGGGTATGGAAGGTTTGAGATATAAGCAGAGATTGGATAGGCTGGGACTTTTTTCACTGAAGTGTCGAAGGTTGAGGGGTGACCTTACAAAAGTTTATGCAATCATGAGGGGAATAGATAGGGTTAATGATTGGCGTCTTTTCCCTAGGTAGGGGGATTTCAAGACTAGGGGCACATTTTTAAGTTGCGAGGAAACATTTAAAAAAAGGCAGGGGGGCAAATTTTTTGCACAGAGGGTGGTTCGTGTGTGGAATGAACTTCCTGAGAAAGTGGTGGATGTGGGCACAATTACAACGTTTAAAAGACATTTGGATAAGTACACAAACAGGAAAGGAATGGAGGGATATGGGACAGGAGCAGGCAGATGGGACTAGTTTAGTTTGGGATTATTGTCAGTATGGGCTGATTGGACCAAAGGGTCTGTTTCCATGCTATACGACTCTCAATGATAGCAGTAATTACAGCAACATTTGGGCATGTATAATCACTTTGACTTTTGGGAGGTGGCTAGATATATCTGCTCCTTCCAAAAGCTGGAGTCTCCACCCACAGACTGTGTGTGGGAGACATGAGTAGAATGGGTGAAGCCAAAGTAATATAAACATTAACCCCTTCAGAACCATTGTGACGTACAACTTGACCAATTTTATGCTGTGGGCTTCTGTCTCTTAGAATACATTTCCTTTCGCGCATTTTGACTCCTCCAATACCTGTGCGGTGTAGCTCGATGAGATGCACTCTTCCTTCACTGTCTGTTTGCAACTCCAAATTGTACTTCGCCCAACTGCAGAACCTGTGGCAGGTACAATGCTGCTCCTTTTGGGTGTTTTTCTTTTTGCCAAGCTTTGTGGAGAATGCAAACGCTCTTGCAGCACCTTGCTCTAAAGCTTCCACCTCCAGCCCGATGGTTTCCCACCTCCTCGAAGGTCGCAAAAAGCAGTTTTCTGGGTCAGTGGTGTTTGCGGGAGCTTGCTGTGTGCAAGTTATGCGCCAGGTTTCCTCAGGCTTCGTTGGGTAAGGGGGTAATCCAAAAGGTGCTATTTCAATGCAGGCTGCGTTTTTGCTGAATCCTACTGTGTGTTTTGTCTGTTACCAATTCTTTCCCTCTGAAACTCTTGGGGTGACCATCTTATGAGGGACTGTTGGAGAGTTTGGGGTCTGTGCCCATTGGAGTTCGGAGGAATGCAGGCAGTATGTAAGATCCCGAGGAGATTTGACAGGTTGGTTGTTTCCCTGGTCATTGGAAAGCCAGGAAGCAGTGGGGGGACAGCGAATGCACAGCTTAAAACTAAAGGGGTCTCCTATTTAAGACAAGCTGATAGACAAGGACATCATTTTCCCAGAGCGTGGTAAAAATGTGAAATACTCATCGCAAGAGAACAGCGCAGGCTAGATCAATGAATATTTTTAAGGCAGAGGTAGATAGTCAAGAAAGAAAATGGGGAGTCAGTGGCTACAGTAGGCAGGGCAAACGAGGAGGTGGAGTTGAGACCACAGTCAGATAACCTGCGACCTTAATTGAAGGACAGGGTAGTCTGGATGGAACGAATGGCCTACGCTGGATGCTCATGCATATTTGACATCCCGTGCTACAGCCATACACAAACCCACCAGGGGCAGCGGGTGGAAGACCTAATCTTTTTGATATTCAGCCCCAGGAGGCTGCTGCTCTGATCTCAATGCAACCGTTAAGACAAGAAGACCACTGTTGAATAAAATATGTGCTTTTTATTCATTGCAAAACTAGTACTCAACCACTTCCCCCCCAACTCCCACCCCCAACACCCTCCCCCCCCATCCCCTGCCATTCTATTTACAACAGTCACTTTTATTAAATGCAAAAAGACATCAAATGCTGCAACATCAAATGACTCTGTATTTTCTTCAGATAGGGAACAAGACTTGGTACACTCCAAGAAGCTATTTTCACAGACTCGAGGAAATTTACAAAGGAGCACAACAGAAAGTTTCTCTTTCCTCCCCCACGACCCCGCCTCCCCCATCTCCATTCACTCTTCACTCCGATGCTGAAAATCTCCATAACATCCTGGGGCGAGCGATGAGCGTAAAGACGCAGGAGGCAAGATCAGATCCTATCGCCGCTCCGAAAAATAAACCCGTCTCTTTTCTTTTTTTGTCTAAATGTCATCGGCGCTCTCATCTCGGAGAAATTAACCGTTTAAACAAAGAGTGAGCTATTGGAAGCCTGCTTCCTCTGGTGAATAGGAGATGCTGGAGCCAGAGGCAACACATTGTGGAGCTGCAGGAACACAGCACAGCCAGGTAGCATCAGAAGAGCAGGAAAGTTGACGTTTTGGGTTGGGACCCTTCTTCAGAATTTCTGATGCTACCTGGCCTGCTGTGATCCTCCAGCTCCACACTGTGTGTTGTCTCTTCCTCTGGCGAATGCGTCCTTTCACAACAGGCATCAAGAGAGATAACAAGGTGTAGAGCTGGATGAACACAGCAGGCCAAGCAGCATCAGAGGAGCAGGAAGGCTGACGTTTCAGGCCTAGACCCTTCTTCAGACCCTTCTTCAGACCCTTCTGGACCTTTCTGAAGAAGGGTCTAGGCCCGAAACGTCAGCCTTCCTGCTCCTCTGATGCTGCTTGGCCTGCTGTGTTCATCCAGCTCTACACCTTGTTATCTCAGATTCTCCAGCATCTGCAGTTCCTACTATCTCAGGCATCAAGAGAGGCTGGTTCTTAGCTCAATGCTTCGAGATATGTAAAAAGCAAGGGCATTTGAGTGGATAACAGAAATTGGAAGGTGTTTGTGGAGAGAGGGGGACAAGGGTGTGGATTAGCCAGGTGGGTGGGGGCGGTGATATGTGGTTGACAGGGAAGCTAGGGTTGAAGGCAGACCCCTCTCTGCTGTAAGAGCGCATGCAGGCACAGTCAAGCAAGGCTCGTGATGCGAAGGTGTCCCCACTTTGGCTACCATTCTACAGGAAGCTCTTCGCTTCTGGAGCCTGCTCTGGTCTCGATATGTTAGATTGCTGTCGAGTCCATCTTGACAGAAATTACAAATATTTTGTAGTTACGAGCGTCGAAGAAACTTCCTCCAGGGGATTGAGGGGAATCATTCAAATGCAGTCCCCCACATTCCCTGCTATCGGGGCTGGTGGAACTGATGTCATTAACCTCAGTGTGGTCTAAACACCAGCAAGCACTGGCCAACAACCTTTTGAAGACAAAAGGGACACTTGCTGGGCAAGAGTGTTCAAGAGAGTGGTGGGGGGAATCTGGGAGCCCTGATACTGATGATGAGGATACACTTGTGCGCACATTCACATGCACACACACACATACACACACACGCACTCATGCACACGCACTCTCACACACACATGCACACACGCACTCACATATATGCACACACATACACACACACACACGCACTCATGCACACGCACTCTCACACACACGCACTCACATATATGCACACACATGCACACTCACACATACACGCACACACACACACATGCAGACACGCACACACGTGTGCACACGCACAACACTGATTAAGCCATGGGTGACCCTGTACATGCCTCTTTTTTTTAAAAATGGGTAGCGGTGGAAGAGAATGTAATTGCTTGCGATATGTAAGGTCGGATAAAGAGAAAAGGAAGGATCTTCTTGTTTTGCTCAACAAAGGGGTCAGTGACTGGGGGAGGCATCGATTTAAAGTGGGTGGTGGGTAGAAGGTGGGCAATGGGGAAGGCATTTCTCACTCAGAGGCTGACCCGAGTCCAAAACTCGCTCTTTGTGCAGTGAGGATGCAGCCCTCAATTCCTTGCAGAGGTACCTGGGTGTGCACCCAAGGGATACGGATCCAGTATCGAAAAGTAGAATTAGGACAGTATGGATGCAAATGGGCAGAGCTGTCCCCTTCTGTGCTGCACCTGTTCTGAAAGAGGGAGAGCACGCATGGCTGGAGGTGGGGATGGGAGGACAGCACGTGATTTGCCCCTGAGGAGGGCTAGCACAGATGTGGCGGTCCAAATGTCTGCATTCTTTGCTGTAAAAGACGATTCCTCCGCCCCACACACACACACACACACACACACACACCTACACAAGAAACATGATCACCATCACTGTTCTGAAGAGTTGCAGGCAGCGACTGGGGATAATCTCCTTGAATCCAGGATGTTGTACAAAAATATCAGACCTTGCTCTCCTTCTGGCCCAGTACGGGGAGGAGTGTGGCTGGGGGTGGGGGAGAAAGGAAGGATGTGAGAAAGGTCTGGGCGGGTGGGGTGCACAGCCGTGTTCAGAGTGAGACAGGGTGGGGGCAATGTATCCACACTTTTGCCTGGCTCATGCAGAAAAACCTTACTGAACCAATAATCTAGACAAAAGCGAAAGTGGGTGTGGGAGAGGGGTAGGAGGGTGGGGAGCAAAAGGAAAACAAACCAATGATTGGACCATTTCGTTGTTGCTTTCATTCTACTGGAAGACCTCTGGATGCTTGAGCAAGATCTTCTCGATGTAGTTCTCCAGCTCTTCCTCGTTGTCTTCATCCTCATAATACTCCTTGTTTCGGTAGACTGGGGGTGGTGGCTGGTAGTAATAGGGGCGGTGGCGAGGCTGGGAGAGCCTGGGGTGGATGTAATTGGGATAACTGTTTGGCCTGGGTCGGTACCTCCTAGGGACAGGATAAGCCATGCTGTCGTAGTCTAGAGCATTATTGTCACCCAGCAGATCCTGAAGGCTCATCTCATCATTGGCACGGTGTCTGGTCTTCTCTGGCCAGTGATGGGGAAGGTAGTTGCTGTCCAGGGTCTTGTACCTATCCCGGGACGATGTCCCGTATCTGCTCTCTAGCCTCTCTGTTGGATCTTTCCTCTTCTTTTCCACATCATTGATGATGTCGATTACATCATCGGCAGGCAGATGAAGCTTGCTCGATATCTCAATGAGCCTGTCAATTGTCTGGGGGTCTATATCCTCATCTTCATCTTCATCTTCGTCTTCGTCTGACCTCTTCTCCTGGGAGGCACTGTCCTCCGAGTCCCCTCCAACCTTCCTCCTGTTGTCTCTCACCTTCTCCTCCTCCTCTTCCTCCTGGCTGGCCTCTCCCCTCAATAAGTACTGCAGCAACAGGTCGGATGCTCTATCTGTTGCCCTTTGCTTGCTGCCCTTCCACGTGTTGCCCTCTTGGGCTTTGGGGCTGTACTTCACTCTACTCCGGGTGTCCTCCTGGCTCTCCTCATAGTCAGAGTATTTCTCCTTCCTGCCCACTAGGTCTTCAAGTACATCCAGGTCTCTCAGCACATCATTTTCCATTGACTCGTCGCCCTTGGCTAATGAGCGTTGGGCAGTGTTGGACCTCTCCCTTTTAGTGGCTGCACTGTATCTCTCCATGTCCTGCAGCATGGTCTCCAGCCTGTCAATGTTCTGTGGCGTCAGGGAGTCTTCTTCATCCTCCCCAATCCTCCAGTCTGACTCTTCACTCTCTCGGGAGACGGGGCTCCTCTGGGTCTTCCCCACTCTGGTCTTACTCTTCACGTTCTCCGTCAAGTTGTTGGGTTCCACCTCTGGTGACGCGAGGTTGGTGGAGGGGTTTGCCCCTCCATCGCGCTGCCTTGGCTCCTCCCTGGCACTGGGCTGTTCTTCATCTACCTTCAAAGCTTGCAGAAGAATGGCTGTCAGGGTCTTGGCATCCATGTCCTTGAATAGCTCATCATCGAAACTGGATTCCATGTTGGGCTGGGAAGGAGCGGATCTGTCCTGGTGACTCTTGAACTTTTCTGTCTCACCCTCAGGCATCTTCCCATCCTCTGGGAACAACCCCTGGCCTTGGTGGTGAGGGATCTGTCTGTTCTCCTTCAGGTTGTCTGGACGCTGGTGTTCCCTGTGACTATCCTCTGTCAGGATGCCAGCTCTGACGGCGCCAAGCAACGTGAGGGTCAGGGCGAAGACGACAACGGCCGATGAATGGGGAGGCCAGGCCATCCTTGCAGGGTCACTGGGGAGGGGAGAGAAGGCTATGGATGCAAAAACATAAAAAGAAGATGAGATAGATTTACCACACCAACCAATGCTTTGAAGTCAAACACCACTGGTATAATTATAGCATTTAAAGTCATCTGGATGATTATATGAATAGGAAGAGTTTAGAGGGATTTGGGCCAAATGCTGGCAAATGGGACTGGATTAATTTAGGTTTTCAGGTCAGCATGAATGAATTGGACCAAAGGGTCTGTTTCAGCACTGTATATCTCTATGACTCTATGACCTATAGCACATGTCTACAAATGGGTAACTCCTGCCATACTTACTCTGAGATTTTCAGGTGACTTACAGAAGAAAGATTTGCTTCTGTACCCATACGCCATGTTATATGAAGTACTGTGTTTTCTTAAACCCCCACCCATGGGATATAACAGCTTATATTGAGATATCTTCACACGGGGATGTCTCGTGGCATTGCTTATCATCAGTATTTTGTGACAACAAGAGCATTTTGCCAAGTGACACACAAATTCTACTTCCATTGCCTTTTAAGGAGCCAGGGTTTGTTTGTTGCAAATTAAACACAGATCCAGATCAAACAGGATTGATTGATGTTTGATATGAGCAAAGTATGGACGGTGTAGGAGTTTTGTGTTCTTTGGAGTATCTGGTGGGACATTAGTGACAGGTATAAAATTATAAGGAGCCTACAGAGAATGGGTAGGGAGACCCTATGCTGTAGTTGTCCATATGGGAGGTGGGAGGTTGTGCAGGGGTAGGGATTCAATTTAGCATCATTCGGACATTTGGAATGGCAGGGAGGAGGTAGAGAACTGGAACATATTAGAATAGTAGAGGCAGAACCCATCATTACAATAAAAAGGCTTTTGACCTTGGAGTGCAGAATGGGATGAGTTGGATGGGCCAAATGGCCTCTATCTCCAAGGTAATGGAGCACAATAAATAGTGACCTAGCCAGCGAACCCACACATCCTGTCATTGAATAAACAAAAAACCAATTCTGTGCTGTGAATTTCAGTGAGTTCTGCTTTTGTGATAATCCAGTCTTTAAATAATAATTAAATCTAATGAATGGCAGGCAGTATATTTGACCACTGGTTTCATTCTGGGCATTCTCTTTGGCACCAGAATGTGCCGAGGATACTTACATTTTGTTTGGCCTGAAGGAGCTGGACAAAGAAACTGAAATATAGGAACAGATGGAGAGAAAGCCAGCAAGATGGAGACAGACAAAGACAAAGAAGAAAACACAGGCATAAACATTAAGGACACAGAGAGAAGAGAAGGATACGAAAGAGAAATACAGAAAAAATTTAAAAAAAGAGAAAAAACTCATGAGATAACATGAGAAAGTGAAAAATAGGAAAGAGATAGAAAGGAGAAAATGAAAATCAGCTAGACAGAAAAAAGAGAAAGAGAAAAAGGGAGAAGAATGAAAGAACGAGGAGAGAGTGAAAGACAAAGGGGGAGAGAATGAATGAAAGAGAAATACAGCAAAAAGAAAGAAATTTTTAAATAAAGCAAAGAAGTAAAATGAGAAAGAGAGAAAGAAAAGGAAAGAAAGAAAAATAGAGGGAAAAATAAAATGAGAGAGATAAAAGAGAAAGAAAGAATGTGATAGAAACAAAAAAGAAAGAAAGGAAGAATGTGGGATGGAGAGATAAAAGAGAAAGAAAGAAGAGAGAGAGAGGAGAGACAGAAAACAAGATAAAGAGGGGGAAAGAGACAGGAAGAAAGGAAGGTGGCAAAAAAGAGAAGCAAGCAGAAAGGAGAATAATCATGTAGATTGGCAGAGAGACAATGAAAGCAGAGAGAGACACACAAAGGAACAGGGTTGTACACAAGTATAAGCAAGCAGAAGGAGAGAGGGAGACATATCCGATGCATAGATAACGTGACATTAGATTAGCGGAGACATAGATAGAGAGGGTGGGGTGGGGGATAATTTCACATAGGCAGGAATACATATTCAGAAACAGGGGCATACCACCAAGACTGAGAGAAAGAATGAGGGACTGAAACACAAAGATAGATATTGAAAGCAAGTGAGAGGACCATAAGGTATTGGTAATAAACTATTAAGAATAAACGGAAAGAGACAGAGACACTAGGATTCACAGAGAGAGAGAGAGAGGATAATGCCAGAATCAGATAAGAGGAACTGGATAGGTAAACTAACTCAGGGCATTGTTATATATGTACATTCTCTCCCTAATATTCTTTATTTTTCCTCTCCACACATTCATGAACATAGAAATGTCTCTCCCTCTGCGTTGCCATCTTCTCTTTCTGTTAGTCGGTCCCCATTCTTTCATTCTGACTTGCTGCGTCTGTATGTGTTAGAAACCTTATTTCAGTATCTCTCAGTTTATCCCTGTATCTCTATGCCTTACTCTATCCTGCAAATGTCACATTCTGTCTTCCTTTTTATGTACTTATATACCTGTACGTGTTTGTATGTATATCCTTCTATGTGTATGTATGTGTTTACCTGTGCATAATGCGTACTTGCACGTATATCTCTCCCTATATGAGTTAATTTGTGTCTATATATATATTATTTTGATTTTGGAGATGTCTGTATTTATGTCTCTCTATGTCTGTTTGTAGCTATCTTTGTATATGTGTCTGTGTGTATATTTCTCTGTGTCTGGATATCTTTCTGTACGTCTGTTTGTAGCTCTCTCTGCATATGTGTTGGTTTGTATATTTCTCTATATCTATATCGGTATGTTTCTCTATATGTGTGCTTATCCATGTGTATTTTTTCTGTGCCTGTGTACATATATTTCAGTGTATATATCTGTGTACATATCTCTGACAGATATAGCTACATGTATATCATTCTAAATGTGTTTGTGTATAAATACCTCACTACACTTGTGTCCGTGAATATATCATTATATATGCATAATTGTGTGTACATCTGTCTATATGTGTGACTGAGTGTATATCTCTCTACGTGTCTCATATTTGTATGTGCTTTTGTGTCTGTCTCCACTGAGGCACAGCCTAGTTCCACTTGTACAGCTGTAACTCAAGGAGACTATCAGAATAAGCAGGTTTGTATTGCATAGACAAGCTTGCCAGTTGCTGTTCAATATGAATGTGAAAGCTGACAATGAAACCTTTTCACAGCGGTAAGGAATGAAGAACTTGCCAAGGATAAGGCCAAGAATCACAGGAGGCCCATGTTCTCCTTGTTTGATTTGCAAAGTAAATGTGTTCTGAAGTGAAAGGGTTTGCACACAGCGGCCAAGCTGCAGGACATCAGTAGCTGCTACCATGACAACCGATTGATCTGCAGTCTCCTAAAACCATGTCCACGTCTGCAGCTTCCTGGTTACCACGGCAACTCTGGGCATTTCTGTTGGGCCATGACAGCTCCAAGAACCTGAATGGTGCAGGGATTAGGATTAGGGGGAGCCTTCTCCCTTGGGAGGGGCAGTCAGCTCTTTGCAAAATCCAGGTGACCACCTATCTCACACTGAGGAGGCAAGGGTGCAAGGGTTGATGTGTGTGTATGTCATAGACATCACTCTACCTTGAATACTCTCCCCACCTAGGGTTCTGTTTCAGTTGTCCATTCATTTTAATCTGGTAACTGCAGACAGGGAGAAAGCTTTCTGCCTGCACTGGAATGAGCAACGCACATCAGTAATAGTTAGTGCGTCAATGCAACTGGTCTAACAACAGGATAGCGATGCTTGAATATTTACCGCAATACATCTACCTGTCTATCTATCTCTTCTTTTTATCTGTCTGTCTGTCTATCTATCTACCTGTCAAGATAATCATCCACCTCATCTCTATCTCTTTCTTTCCATCTATCTATGCAGTAAGTTTCTAGCCATTTAATTGTTGAAAGAAGCAAGGCAGAGATATATGACTCGGATCAGAATTCAGCCTAAAGGCCAGCCCTGAACAGGGGAATCCCATCTGTGCTGCTGCCAGAGACTGGGGCTGCTGATAGCATGCAATTCAGCCAGAACGTGGCTGTCCAGGAGTGTCGTTCATCCCCTCCTGATGCGTGCAGCCGGAGCCTGTTCATTCCCGTTCACTGCCAGCAAACCTCTTGAAATGGATGCACTTCAAGAATGATTGAGGTATTTGGTGATTTCCTGAAACTGCAGTCTACATTGAGAAACAAGCAAGCTAATGCCGACTGCGCCTGTATCTGTTACTGGCGGGTTCCCCATCTGTAAACATAACTATATAAAATCAATAAATATACATTATAATATATGCATTAACATATAACGAGAATGCACAAAACATATATCAAATGTTTTTATATAGAGAATATATATAAACAAAATATCAGCATTGAGCATCAGAAATATACAATTGTATATATTTCTTGATTTCCTAATTAAGAAACCAAATGTGCAAATCTTTATAACCAGATGACTTAATGCATTGCATTATTCAGTTACATTTCACAAATTCCAACATGCAATGAAATACCTTAATATAATTCTATCCTTTAAAGTAAATGATTTTGCAACTAAGTGCCCCAGAATAAGGTGAATTCTTTCTGTTTGTCGTTGTTTTGGCAGATTTATGACTGTCTGCACGGCCGTGAAATTTTTTTGCTCACCGTTTAACTGATCACATTTAATTTGTAGGTTTCGCACCGAATGTGGGCGTTTGAGATTTGCTCTCTTGGGTAGAGTTTGGGGTCCAGTAGCTCTTACCTGGGAGATGCGGTGTCTAAGGGTGGGGGAGACGGCGGCCGGGATGCTTGCTGTACACGGCTATGCGGCTGGGGTCTCCGGCTGTAAGAGATTCAGGACCGCGGACTGGACACTGTAGGTTTTAGCTCCGCGGACAGCAGCGCCTGTAGTTTCTTGGTTCAAGCGGCGTTTCAGCACCGTGGACAGCGCCCTAGCTCTGGCTCCGTGGGTTTCAGCACCGCGGACAGCGCCCGTACGTTTTATGCTCTTTCTGGGAACACCCCCCACTTTGAGACCCCGCCTTTCCCTGACGTCACCTTGCATTGACGTCATCGGTTCATTCATCCCCAGCCTCTCGTGTGGAAATCACCCGCAGTCCCGGAATTCATGAATGAAACCTCGGCCCCATTCACAATAGAGGGAGGGCACAGCTGAAAGAAGTCACCTAGACAGCCATGGACATTGCAATTCAGTCTGGTCCTCATGCAGATGCAACCTCCGCCGAAAACTAAAATAAAATCTGAGACAGAGAGAGAGAAAAAGAATCATATTCCAGACAAAGGAATGATGAGGGAACAAATACTGATGTGTACACGTTGACACTACAGAAAGACTTTCAGTTCTGTGAGTCTGAATCTGATTAAAAGCTGTTTACCGAGAGAAGCAGAGGACGTTTCTAGAACACTCCAGTTAATATGAGTGGGGTTTCCAGATGGTTACGCCAGGGAAGAAAATTGAATCAAAATAAAATGAAAGTATATCAAATACCGAGCACCAAAACTAAGCTGCTCCGAAGTGCATAATTGCAGTGCAATTTAGCATTTGTGAAGTCTGGATATTCAAATGTGTCATTTATTTATAGATAATATATTTAGCTATAGTAGTAACATTACATGTATAAATGATGAGCTCATTTATATGCAATACTACCTATATATAGAATAAACCCTTTATATACCCTCTATGTGTAAAATACAATGTTTCTACAGGTATCTATCTGCCTGGACATATGTTGAAGTTATAAATTGAACATTATATGCAACCATTTTCGTAATAATCTGTGAGAATGGTGTAATCTGCCACTCCATTTGAGGAAATGCAGAACATTACACTCTGTTACCCTGGTTTAATCTTATTTTGTTTTTTTTAAAATCTTTTTAACATATCCCTTTTCCTATTAGTGCTGGCCTGCCCCCACTTTAACCAGGGCATGGATTGTTTCATTCTGACTCAGTCAAGGCTGTTCTGCCGCATTGTGAGGGGCGTCAATGTCTTTGTTGATGACTCTGTTTTGCCCTCCCCCGGGGAATGTAGTCTTTCATTGCAAGAGATTAGCACCGTAAGCACAATCACTTTCTCCATCTCCTCTCACATAGGTGCTGTTTTTAAAGCACACCTGACTCTAATTTGGTTTTGTTTCTATTCCATTCACAGGATGTGGGCGTTGCTAGCTGAACAAAGATTTATTGCCTCTCCCTAACTACCTTGGAGAAGGTGCTGGTGAGCTGCTATCATGAAGAGTTAGACACCATTTGGGGTAGGGCCACACACAGTGCTGTTAAAGAGATATAGAATTCTGAATCTGATACAACTTCTTCAGAATTGAAAGCTGTTGCTAAGCTCTGGGTGTTCAGTATTGGGTGCTGGATAGGTTTATTTTTCTTATTTTAGAGGTGGGATTTTTGTTTATTCTTTTACATGATGTCAGTGTCTCTGAGTGGGTCAGCATCTATTGCCCATCTCTAATTGCCCCTTGAGACGGTGATGGTGAGCTGCCTTCTTGAACCTCTCATGGTGTAACTACACCCACAATGCTGTTAGGGAGAGAATTCCAGGATTTTGACACAGTGACATTGAAGAAATGGCCGACTCACTTCCAAGTCAGGATGGAGAGTGGATTGAAGGGGAGCTCGAAGGTGGTGGTGTTCCCGTTTATCTGTTGCCTTTGCTCTTCTAGGTGGTAGAGATCAGTAGGCGCTGACTAAGGAGACATACAGCATGAAAACAGACCCAACTAATCCATGCTGACAAAGTTTCCTAATCTAAATTAGTCCCATTTTCCTGCATTTGGCCCATATCCCTGTAAACTTTTCCTATTCATGTACCTGTCCAAATGTCTTTTAAATGTTGTTACAGTATCTGTACCACTTCCCATGAACCACTCGCTGTGAAAAAGTTACCCCTCAGGTCCCTTTTAAATGTTTTCCCTCTCACCTTAAAATATGACCTTCAGTTGTGACCTCCCCTAACCAAGGGAAAAGGCCTTGGCTATTCACCTTATCTATATCCCTCATTATTTTATAAACCTCTATAAGGTCACCCCTCAACCTCCTATGCTCCAGTAAAAAAAGCCCCAGCCTATACAGCCTCTCCTTATAAGTTAACACTCTAGTCCTGGTAACATCCTTGTACTTCCTTTTGTACATCTTCCTATTGCAAGGTGACAAGAACTGTACACGGTACTCCGAAAGTGGCCTCACCAACATCCTGCACAACTGCAAAATGATGTCCCAACTCCTATACTCCAACTCCAAAAGTGGCCTCACCAACATCCAGTACAACCACAACATGATGTCCCAACTCCAATACTCAAAGGAGAAGCAAATTGCTGCAGATATTGGAATCTGCACTGAAAACAAAATTTGCTAGAAATCACAGCAGGCCAGGCAGCATGTGGGGAGAGAGAGAAAGATAACATTTTGAGTCCAGTCATCAGATCTCTGAGAGCAATCTAGACTCGAAATGTTAGCTTTCTCTCTCCATGGATGCTGCCTGACCCCCTGAGATTTCCAGCATTTTTTGTTGCCTATATTCAATGGCCTGAGCACTGAATGCAAGCATGCCTTCTTCAGCTGCTAATGAGTATCAATGGTGGAGAGAGCAGATTTTGAATGTTTGTGGGTGTCAATCAATTGGGCTTCTTTTTCCTGTATGGTTTTGAACTTCCTAGGTATTGCTGGAGCTGCATTCATCCTGATATACGCTTGGTAGATGGTGGATAGGCTTTGGGAAGGCAAGAGGTGAGATACTTAATCAGAATTCCAAGTATTTATATGGCTCATCCACAGTATTGGTATCGCTGGACCAGTTCAGTTTCTGGTCAATGATAACACCCAGGATGTTGATAGTGGAGTTTCAGAAATGGTAACACTATTGAATATCAAGGGCTAATGGCTAGATTCCCTCTTTTTGGAGATGGTCTTTGCGGACATTTGTAGTGCAAATTTTACTTATCGTATATCAGTCCAAGTGTGTGGTTTACATATGTCTTGATGCATATGAACCAAGACTATTTCCCAAACTGAGAAGTCAGGAATGGTGCTGAAAATCATATGTCTAAACTTGACGATGGAGGGAAGGGAGGGGTATGAGAGTCAACTCTGATGTGGTTAACTGATATTTGTCATCATTGTCATCAGCAGTCACTTGCTACTGAGTATGATTGTCTACCTAGGAAATTCCATGTCACTGGTCATGGGTTCGGTGGGTCCTTTTGGGCTGATGAACCCAATCCTAGAGCCACATTTCCAACCATGCAATTGGCAGATGATTCTGGGATCTGAAAAAGATCCTTGGCCTTGGGAACACTGGCATTACTTTTTCTGGTTCCTTTTCTGTACTTCTTCTTGCTAACGGTGTTCTCGAAGAGTTCTGTCCCTTCATCCAGGGACTTCCTTCAAATTAGCTTTTTCTGAATCAGAGTCATTGATGTCTACATTGCATTTCTTGAGGGTAGCTTTCAATGAGACTTTGAAATGTTTCCTTTGTCCTTCCTTCATTCAAGTGCCTTCCTGGAGCTAGGTGAAGATATGGCAATTAGAACTCAGGCATTCCAAGATGGTGGCAGACCCAGCAAAGTTGGTTTTGGACGATCATGGTCTTGATGCTGGTGGTATTGGCAGTTGATCATTATTCTCAAGGACCTTCCTGTGGCATCTATATGTTTTGGAGTCATATAGAAGATTCAAAAAGATGACTGCCTTATCCACAAAGATCTTGGTATCAGTATGGATGCCAAAATTATTGAAGACTCTCATCCTTAGCCATCCAGAGGCAACACTCGCAGATTGGATGTGATGTTGAATCTCCGTATTGATGTTAATCTTAGATGAGAGGAAGCTTTCCAGGTAAGAGAAATGTTCCACAGTTGAAAGGATTTCTCTCTTAATGGAAGGATGAAGTGCAACTCGACCTTGGAGAGGTTGGTAAAGGATTTGAGTCTTCTTGAGGTTGAGGCTGAGACCAATTCTTCTGTATGCTTTCATGAAGGAATTATGTGAGGCTTGAAGATTCCCTTCTGAGAGAGCAGAGGTGACATTGTCACCTTCATATGGAAGTTCCACAAAAGAGGCTGGTATCATCTTCTTCTTGGGTTTCAACCAGTTGAGGTTGTAAAATCTTTCTGTCCATCCTGTAGATAATGTCCACACCTGGGACCTTGCAGTGCAGGTTCATAGTTCCTTAAAAGTGCAGTCACAGGTAGAAGGGTAGTGAAGAAGGCATTTGCTACGCTTGCCTTTACTGGTTGAGTAGAGGAATTGGGAGGTCATATTGCAGCTGTACAGAACGTTGGTGAAGTCACGTTTGAAATACTGCACTCAGTTCTGATCTCCCTGCTAAAGGAAGGATGTCGTAAAAATTGAAAGGGTTCAGAAAAGGTTTACAAGGATTTGCCAGGTTTGGAGTGTTTGAGCTATATGAAGAGGTTGACTAAGATGGAGCTAATTTCTCTGAAGCATCGGAGGCTGAGAAGTTACTTTATTCAGGTTTATAAAATTATGAGGGGCATGATGGGGTGAGTAGTCAAAGCCTTTTCCTCAGGTTAGGGGAGTTCAAAACTAGAAAGCAGAGGTTTATCGTGAGAGGGGAAATATTTAAAAGGTACCTAAGGGGCAATTTTTTTTATGCAGAGAGTGGTGCATGTATGGAATGAATTGCCAGAAGAAGTGGTGGAGGTGGGTACAATTACAGCATTTAAAATCTGGATGGGTATAAGAATAGGAAGAATTTAGAGGGATATGGGCCAAATGCTGGCAAATGGGACTGGATTAATTTAGGATATCTGGTCAGCACGGATGAGTTGGACCACAGGGCCTGCTTCTGTGCTGTATGTCTCTATGGCTATGACTCAGGGAAGCTTGTTCTTGATAAGATGAAGAATGGTGGCAATGAAGATAGAGAACAGGGTAGGGGAAGTGGCATGTTCTTGCTTGACCTCTGC